GAGCGAAAGGTTCATTCTCCCTCTATATAGTAATCAAAAAGAGAACATATCATTTAATTATCATAATATTGGGAAAATATCAGAAAAAAAGGAAAAAAAAATTCTAAAACTTTTAAATTAGTTAAATTGGTAAATATTTGATTCAACAATTTTTTTAGTCCATATTTAGGCTTCATTTTTCCAAATGTATTTTTTAAAAACTCAATTTTTAATTACACATTCTCCAATAAAATAATGTTACACATAAATTCAAAATTTTTCTTGATTTTTTAACTACCATTTTCCAAAAAATCACTATTTCAAAACACATTTTCCTCCAAATCTCATTTTAGTGGAACCCAAACAAGGACTGTTAATCACCTAATACATCAAAAGTAAAAGTTAAATATTCGATCGATCTATTTTTTTTTAAAAGAAAAATTATTACTTAACTGATTGATGCCTACATGAGAAATGTAATAGAATTCGATAGGAGCCCATTCAAAAAGATACAAATTGTCAATCAATGTCAACGTCACAATAACACACAGTTTATGGTTAATGTCATAATAATACACAATTTATAGTCACAGCTACAAATTGTATAAGGTCACAATCAAAATAAAAATTGTGAGTCACAATTACACACAATTTATGATCACAGTTACAAATCGCACAAGGTCACAGTGCAATGAAATAAATTGTGAGTCACAATTACAAATTTAGTCGCAATCACCCATCTTTTAGGTCATACATTATTTATTGGTCACAAATTACTCATTTTATCGATCACATATTATTTATCGATCATAAATTATCCATTTTATTGTCACAATTATCTAAATAATTGATCATAAACGCACTTCCTCCCACCACTCCACCACCATCGGCACCGCCTTAACGCCACGTCATCTCACCACCATCACCACATGTGCCAACAATCCCAATTTGCAAATTGACCCCGATTTGAAATTGCAAGCAAGGCCTGCAACTTCACAAATTACACTAGATGCCCGGTGGTGACAAGCGATAGTTGTTGTGGTGTGAGTGTAAATTGTGACCTGGGGAATAAGTAAAAGAATAGGTGGGGTGAGGAATAGTATATACATGATTTTTAAGGAATAAATTTAAAATCTGATTTTTAAATGATATGAGTATCTCCAAATTATTATCTAAATATGCTATCATCTCCATTTTAAAGAGTACACTCTTCAAATTATGTTTCAAAAGACTCTTCAAATTAACATTTTAAAATAAAGAGTGAATTTGACTCTTCAAATTTGGAGAGCCAAACACACCCCTACAATTAAATGTATTAAAAGTATTTTAATTTTTCATGGAGAAAAATAATACAATAATTTAGAGAGACAATAGTAAAAATAAAAGATTGAGAAAAGTAATAATTTTTTTAAAGAGTAGAAAAATAAAGCCCCTGTTTGATGGCCATCATTTGAGAAAAAAATATTTTAAATGTTAACTTTTAGGAAAATTTGTGGTTAAAAATAGGGAATAATTTTGAATTTACATACAGAATGTTTTATTGTGTACATATATGGTTGGAAATTAGTATTTAAAAAAAGAGTTTTCCAATAATGATTACCAAAGGGACTAAGTGTTAAAAATAAATAATCTCTTGGAGTAATTTACAATATGATTACCTTAATTGCTGAATATGCTATTTAGGAATAGAGTAAATTTAATCAATTTTCGTTGAACTTTAAAATTGTTATTATTTATTCACTCATTTTTAATGGGCTATCGAATGGTCACTCACATTTCCATATAAATTATCTATTCACCACCCATTTAACTCACCACTCATTTAACTTTCACCTCTACAAATAAGGGAAAATTACACGTGGATAACTGAAATCAAACATTACAAAATTTTGCTGTTAAATCTTGACAACGTGGAATTAAACCCTGACACTTCTTCTTTGAAAATCACGTTTTAACCTATTTTCACGACATCTTCTATGTAAGAGAATATTAAGAGAAATTCCTACTAATTTCTTCAAATTCTCCTTGAAATCAACATCAATACACTATGAGGCTTGCGAATTAGGGGTGTAAGCGGTCCGATTTTACCGATTTTTGACAGATTTTCAAACCAAACCGTTTAAACCGATTTGAGAAAAACTCAAACCTAAACCAAATTATTTTAAACGGTTTGAAAAAAACTCAAACCTAAACCTAACGGTTTGATCGGGTTTAAAACCGCAAGTTTCATTGTATATTTTTTTGCATGTCTACTTTTATGTCATTAATTCATTGAATTCAATATATATTTGTATATTTCTAGCAATAAATCTAAAACAACTAAATATATCTACTATAAATTTAAATACCAACTAAATCCAAGTGAAATCATAATAATAATTTTTTTTCACCCTTTTTAGGCTAAGACATTACGATAACGTTACAATACAAGTCTAATAAACTAAATATAAGGTCCAAAACACCTATAAACTATATATTTATTTGAAAGCATATAGTTCCATAATACAGTTACCGAGACATCAATAAGACAACACCTTAAATGATAAATTTTACGCCTACTGGATCAAAATCCAAGACTTTAATAGGCTAACTGAATAGATATCATCCTTATTAATACAAAACATTTAAAGAAACAGTTTAGCAAAATATTTAATCATACAATAAAACACAACAATTAAATTGATGCAAGTATAGTTGCCATTGGAGTCATTATTGATTTCTTTTAGCTTATTAAACAGCTCATCTACATATCAAATTGCATATGAACACTTTTTAACTTCTATTGATATATTTTATCATGCCTAATTCAATCATAAAACAAGAGTATGTTCACACAAATAGAATATAATCATGTACATATTAGATAAACTCTTTCCATCAAAATGAATAAATTTATTTCACAATCATCCAATAGTTGAGAGAAATGCGAAACCTATATAGTTTCAAATTTCTTACCTCAATTTGCTCAAAAAAATTATTGATATTAAATTTTATTTGTAGAAAATATTATTACCGAAGACCCAAGATCTATTTGTCTCCGATTTGGTGTGGTGCGGTGGCTCAATGCTGTGTCGGGTGTCGGCTGAAGTTCATTCGAATTCTGAAAAAGAAAATGACTTTTGATATATTAGGTTAGTCTTGAGATTATTAGATATAAATTAGGATTATTGGGTAATAATAATATATATGTAATAGAAAATTAGAAATTGACAAAAATACTCACACATGACAAAACTATTGAATTTTACATATTTGGATTTTTTAGAAATTTTCATTTTTTTTATTTTTATATATTTTTTCGTCGATCCGGTTTGGTTTTAAACAGCAATTAAAATTTTCAAACTTAAACCAAACCATTTTTGACTTGTTTGGTTTGGTTCAAAACCATTTCGTTGATGGGTCCACGTGGCACCAAACCGACGGTTTCTAAAATGCTGTTTATGTTCGATTTTTCGGTTTGGCGAATTTTGCTTACAGCCCTATTAGGAATGAAAGCTCTCTTCATAGTTATGGTGCTTATAGAGGCTTCTGCTCGCCTTTCTCTTGCCTATAGTTCAATTGATTTTGAACTGTTTGAACCCGTATCTTCCTAATTGGAGGTTTGGAATTATTGAATTGGGGGTATTGATATTGAGATTTTGAGTTTAAGTTTGGAATTAAGGCGTGTTGCAATTGAAGAATGGAAATTGTGTTTGGCTCGTGCGCTTTTTGTGACATATCGTTTGCCACATGCAATTTTCATTCATAATTTGAAAGGTTACTCAACGAGTGGTGGATGAGTAATTATATAGAAATATGTTTGAGTATTGAGTAACTTATTAAAGTTGAGTGAGTGAGTAATAAAAATATTAAGGGCATGTTTGATTTTCAATTTTTTCAAAATATATTTTTTCGTCTCTTTTTTTAATCACACATTTTTAATTTAAATAATATTACTGTAAATCACAATTTTTTTTTCTTTTTTAACCACACATTTTTCATTAAAGGTGTGTTTGAGTCACATTATTTTGGAAGAATATATTTTGAAATAATAGATTAATGGAGAATGTGTGTGGTTGAAAAATAAACAAAAGTTGCTGATGTGATGAAAAATATTATTTTATTGAAAAATATGTGATTGAAAATGAGTAAAAGAATGATAGCAAAAATTTTAATGTGGCTCGGGGCTAATATAGGGTATGTTAGATCGTGTTTAAAATCCAATTAAAATTGAAAATATAATCGTTATTGGATTCCATTCGTTTAATAAAAATCAACAATAACAATTTATTTTTTAATTTTAATTTGATTTTAATATCTATCGAACACTCTCCAAATGCATTTTTGAAAAAGTACGGGCTCCACCCCCCCCCATTTAACCGCCCCCTCCCCAGGCCACCCATCCCAATCGAAAGGCAGGTCTATAAAGGATTACTATTTACTCATGTCTGTTTGGCGAAGGGGAATAGCGGCCTAGGTTTTCTCTTTCGGTATTACACTCAAAATTGGGACGTCACCCCCCTCGGCACCAATTATCTTGTGTTGCAGTGATTTCTACTCTTCTTCATCACCAAACTTGGAAGGTAGTATCGGATTGTATTGGTGTTAAAACGAGTTTATATGTTGAAATCGACTCGATTTATTTGTTGTGAATGATTAATTTGAACTCAACTCCTTATAATTTTTTTTTATTTTATTTTCCCAGAATTGTTGTTCTCGATGCTAATCTTTGTCTAGCAATAGTGATTTTTTCGACAATATTTCTCTTGAATTCTTGAAGCGGTTGTTTATGGTTTTCCATTGCCGTAAAAACTGGCTGCCCCTGAAGTTTAATAGGTGAAATACCCAGGATCAAGCCCCCACTAGACCCAAATGGCTCCGCCCCTGGGCCAGAAATTTACACAATTAATTCTGATATAAATTACTAGCAATAAAGATTTGTGTTTACATTTTTTTACCCCCCAGCGCATAGAATATTCAGTGTTTATTTTATTATTTTCAGGTCTACACACATAGAACAAACTAATAATTAGAGAAAAGACATGCCACCTTCTGCTGAACTGGAGAATCAGGGGGAACCCCAGTTCAATTGGGGAAAGAAAAGAGGCCGTGGTGGAAAATTGAAAAAAGTCCAATTCTATGAATCATTTACTTATGATGAGGTGGATTATACTTTACATGATTGTGTATTCATGAACGTTCAAGATGAATCTGTACCATACATTGGCAAGCTCGTAAAGATATGGGAAGATGCTGGCGAGTCCAAGAAAGTAAAAATTCATTGGTTTTTCCGTCCCACGGAAATTTCATATTATCTAAGGGATATGGAGGTAGCTGAGAATGAATTATTCTTTGCCACGGGTGAAGGCACTGGCCTTGCGAATANGGGGGGGGGGGGGGGGGGGGGGGGGAGGGGGGCATGCATTTATTGCAATGGAATGTTTGGAGAGGATGGAGTCCTTGAAAAGATCTTTTGCAAGTGTGCTAGCAGAGGACTTAGAGTAAAGAGATTTCACCAGAGAGTTAGGCTAGGATAAGATGAATGGTAGAACAACATTTTGTAAACTTGATACATCTGGAGGAATATCTTATAAAAAGGCTATTAAGGATGACCATGTTATGCCTTTGAGAGTGAGTTTTCTAATATTTATGCTACAAAAAGTCAATACGAGGCATATGGTGCAAGGAGTTGATGACAATTTTTGGTCAACCTTGTACAGTTGTATATATCTAAATGTTTTTTGGTAGTGCTTATAAGTAGTAGGTCTATTGCATGTGTGGATAATAAGTCGTGGGTTTTACGATGTGTTGACAAAATTATGTTTAACCACATATTTTCCCAATAAAATGATTTTAAATATGTACCCATAACATTTCCTTCATTTTTAACCACATGTTTTCCAGAAAATCACTTTTTCAAAAAATCACATCTAAAAACAGCAAAATCAAACAAGGGCTAAGTGCTTGTCTTCGATGAGGGTTGTGATCTTCTAGAATATTTTGAGATTTTTGGGAAGTGAAGACTAACCTTAGAATACAAAGTATCCTCTTGGTTACAGTCCATTGAGGTAGGAGACCTGTGAGACATAACCTAATTCCTTTTTCCTATATTTTTCTTCCTGTGGTCTCTACCTGTGATTTTTCTATTGAAGTCAAAGCAAACAAAAGTTTTCAATTAGTTAGTTGTTTCGTTTCTATTCGATTTTTGGAGCGAGTTGTAAATTAGTAGTTCTTATTCAATTATTACTTCATAGTTTTTTATTGGTACTTCATCGATCGATTTTATGTTATTAGTTCAAAATTAGATTTTTTTTGTTGTAATCTGATATTGTAGAGTTTTCTATATGATTTATGTTTTATTGGACTATAATGTTGTAGTTTTGTATCTTGTTCAATTTATTTCATATTGAAGCTTATGCTTTGAAGTGCCTCCAGGGGTTATGCCTTCCTTGATTTACTCTCTCTCTAATGCATAGTTTTTGTACCAAGTAGAAATGTTCCCTGTTGGCGACTTCCTAAACCATCATGTTGCTACACAATGAACTAAATCTTATAGCATCAATGGCAGCATGTACGTCTTTATATTTTTCAGGTCCCTTTTTGTTTTTATCGTTATTACCATTAGTTCCACTAGTGATGCTTACCAAGGAATCCCCCCTTCGTCCTTTTGGATGATTCTCCAAGTCATTGGTTTCTGGTCAATAGATCTTCAGTTTTTGTTTATGGTCTATTGTCCACGCCGCAGGAGAAAGCAAAACATTGTGGGGAGATTGAATGTTGTCATTTAGAGTGGTAACGGAATAAATACAGTATCATGCAATTAATATTATATATCATAATGCATACGAATCCAACAAGCTATTGGTTTATGTATGGACTCTAATGCTGTGAGGGGATGTAGTTATGGAAAAGCAACTACGAAAATTTGAATAATGAAGGTTTGATTTTGATTAAGTGCTTATTTTCTTTAGTGCCTATCTTCTACGGATAAAGATTGACAACTTTTTGTAAGGGGTGTTAGATAAATATTGATTGCATGATAATTTGAATATATTGAATTAATGGTTATTTGTAGCTAATTTGGGGAATGAGGGTGGGATTGATGAAGATTATAAGTGAACTTTCATTACTTGGTGTTGTAATGGCAAGAATACGAAGGACTTGTTAAGATCGTTTCCAAACTAAAATTGAAATTGAGTTTCTCAGAAATGTATATAGAAACAAAATTTAGAATTTTATTGAAATTGGAAAACATAGATTGATGTTTTCAGTATTTCTTTTAAAAATAATTGAAATAGAAATGTTATTAACAAACAAGGTAGAGAAATGCGAAAGCAAATTCTTTTCCATGTGAAAAACATGATTAAGAGATTGAGGACAAGAAAAGGCTCCAAAGAAGAAGCGAATGAAAGAGTTGACAATGTAAAGTCTTTATGTGAAGGAATATCAACTAGCAAATGGAAGGGGGGAGAGAATGATTTTGATGCCCGTAGATGTGCTGCGACATGAAGAGAGAGTTTTGAGAAGCCAAGTGTTAGGTTTTCCGAATACTTAGCCCCTGTTTGTTTGACATTATTTTAACATAAAAATGATTTTTTGGACCCTTTTTTTCAAATTTGTGGGTCCCAACCTGTGAGAGATTGGTCAAAAATGGCGGCTGAGACCCCTCCCCAACGGTCCTAATTCTACTTAAAATGCCAAAAAAACAGGGGCTTATTATATCATTCCATTAAACTATGAAGAAGCTTGGATAAACAATGTTGGCCTATACTGTAAACTTACTATTAAGTTAGTAACGATTACATTAGATAAATGATATCACCAATAATCGAATTAAATGGAGCTTGAGCCTTTATCGAAGACTTCATCTTAAAGTGTTTCTTAAGCTTAGTGAAAGATTGCTTTCAGTAAGACTTGGGACATTTTTGTTTTGCTAAGATGAAGATCACAAGGTTTTTTAAGCATCGTTGGCAATCAATTGTGCGATCTTAAGCATCCAGATTAGGACTATATCACTCTATTGATCGCATGAAGTTTATCATTAAAAGCTAACATATGGACACATTATCCAAATTGATATGTTAAATCAACTATTAGACTATATGCAAAGTACATCTAACGTGGGTTTAGCATTGTTCAAGAAGCTTATGCTCTATTATTTCATGGTACCGAGTTTCTTATGTCATTGTCTCTAGATTTATAATTGGTGTAAAAGATGATATTGAGTGCAAGTTTAGTTTAAATTCACTCGAGCTTTTAGCATTATGCTTAGAGCTTTTAGAGCAAGTTACATTCACTATGATACTTTGATGTGAACATGAGTGTCAGACACAACACGAGTCCTATATGGTGACACATTATTTTTCAAAACAAGTAGGACAAAGCACGTCAAATAATAATATTGAACTTGTATTAGTTTTTAATTTTTGTTTCATAGAGTTTTTTATTAATGATGTAAAACAAGTTACTCAGACTCGAGTATGGGTGTCGAATAAGGGTACATAGCTAGGAGTCGAATATTTTTTCTTTTGAAACTTAGGATATAGGGATACGACTAAAAAGAATTCAAAAACTTGACATTGTTACGATGACAAGTTTTTACAAACATAATTTTTTTTAATATTACATGCTAATAATTTAAGATTTTTTTCGGGAGTTTAGCATTAAATGAACATAGTTTCATGCTTTAGAAATCTTGGTTTTATGCCTCAAAATCAATTTTGTTGTTTTAAAAATTGTAGCCCACTCATTTTCTTCTTGCAACTTCTACTTCTTTCAATGGCGATTTCCTTTCCATAATTTTGCCACATTCGCTTCTAATTTGAAAACGTCCAACACATGATCCATACTTATTCCCATTTCGTGTCATACGTTGTTGTGTAGGCTACATCGTACAAAGTGAGTAGTCTGAGCAGTATATGGCGTAAATATAAGTAATAAGTTTTTAAATTTGTACGCATGTATTTAAACAAATAGTGGTAAGTTCCCATTTTCATCAGGAAACACATTGGTCATTGTTTATTCTAATTTTAAAGCTAGTGGGTCTCAGAAAATTGAGAACCGTACCCTCTATTGCACAATATTAAGGGCTTGAAGATTCATTATAGTCGCAATGGAAGATGAAGTACATAGTAGCAATTTCCACTGAGGTGAGTCTCCATTGCAAATTGGCAACATTTAAACACCGGATCGACACCATCGGCTTGCTAAAAAGGAGTTTGACTTTACTCTTTATTTCTCTGTTTTCTTCTTTTCGTTCATGTTTGAACACTTAGACGTTTCGGAGATGCCATCGTGGCTTTTTGACAGCATGTTCGAGATGTGTTCGACACTTCGTTTAGTGTTTGTTTGGTAAAGCTTTTGTTTGCTCAAAAGATGGTCAAACTTTATTTTAACCACACATTTTATTGGACCCATAATTTTTATTCACTTTTCGCCGCACATTTCATGGGACCCACTAGCTTTTATTAACTTCTAGCAACATCATGCAGCCCCTTAATAGTTGATAATAGATTTTCTAATAAGGGTTTGTTTGTTCTATGCTCCAAAATTACTAATAAGTAAATGCCTACCATTTAGTTAATTTTTTTTCTCCATGGAAATTATCTGCTAGCATGACTTCCTATTTACCTTAGTTAATTACAACCATATTACTTTAGTCTAAGCCTTTGCCTTTTGTATGCATGATTCATTTTGAGTTAGAAAATATGGCTCTTGTTTGGCTCCAATTTTTTCAAATTCATTTTTTCCCAAATTCATTGTCAACCATACGTTTTATGGGATCTACAACTTTTATCAATTTTTCAACTATAGATTTCAGCAATTTTATTATAATTTACAAAAAAAATTGATTTTTAGCCAAACCAAACATGGGCATACTTTTTTTTAGAGAATTACGAGTTTGCTATTGGTGGATGTTGCTGGCTTGGAGAATCTAAAAAGTATAATAAAGTAATTATTTAATTTTTCCTTAGTAATTCCCTTAAGCTAACATCAACAAACTTCATGTTTATTTGGTTGGCCTTTTCCCTTATTTCGATTATTTCTTATTGCTTATTAACTTAGGCTTTGCATTACACGTAAATACAAGTAATATTTTTATGAAGTGGTTTTATTTCCTATTGAAGCACAATTGAGCCTCTAGTTGCGTTCACGAGTTTCTGTAGGTCAATCGTGTTACTTCATTTGGAGGTCACCTATGATGCACCGACACGGACATGTGTGGCCGTCACGATACGTGTCGGATACGCCGATACGCAATTTTTTTTTAAAAAAAATACAGACACGACTCTTATCGACACGTTGATTAAATTTTTAAAAGTTCTTCATTTATATATAGTATAAATTTAGTTTTATACTTGTTATTAATTTTTCTTATTGAAATCTTTTAAACATGAGTACCTATTCATTACTTGCTAATGACATTGAATTAACAATATATAATATTTCTAATATAAAAAGAAAAATGATTATGGCAGAGTGTCCGAGAAGTGTCGGTATCGACTCGTATCCGACACATGTCAGACACGGACACGCTACCCTAATTGAAGTATCCGTGCTACAGAGGAGGTCACCATTGATTATCTGTGATGAGTAGGTCGTCCTTGATCTGAAGTTGTATGATCAATATTGTCTGTTTCTCTCTCAGGTTTGAAGTCTTTTCAACCTGGGCACGTGGTGGAGATTCTGACAATACTTTTCTCCATGTTGCTTTTACAAAACTTCTTGTATCATCTAACCATCACCATTAATACAACACCAACATTATTTGATTCCAAATTTAAAGCAATACCTATTGTACCTTCTTCGAATTTTACTAATTCACCCGTCATTACTTCATCAAGACCATGAATACGAGAAATGCCATAACATTTTGATTTTTTAATTGATGTTCTTGTATTTAAATTTATATCTTATGATAGGGTTGAACTATATCTTCTAAAAGTTGAGCTGTTAGAGAAAGGCCACACATGCCTCCTCACGTGGGGACTGGAGTTATTTTTCGATGTAGTGCAAAATTTCCATGAAGTGGTAGCAGCAAGACTTCAACTCAGAAATTTTGCATGCTGTGCTACCATGTTGAACCGTCTAATTTTTTGGGGAATTCCAAATATCAATATGACCCCTATTTCAATTACATATACACTTCATTGATAAATATTAAATATATAATTTTTTTTTTGTACAATTTCTCTATGTAAATTCTTTTCCCTTCTTTTTCTCAATTCTTTCTACTCCCATATTTCTTTGTCATCTCTCTCCTGTTATGCATCAAAAGGCCTTGGAGGAATACAACTTTCCCCCTTTGGTGATATTATCACGTATGTACTTCTAGTAAATTGACTCATGAGGTTGTCGTGTCTCGTTTTATGGAATTAGGAAGCGATTGCTGGCAAATGCAATGTCGTCTGCATCTCAAGTGACAGCAGAAATCCACAACCCTCAGTTGAAGAAATTCAGATGGCTGACTATGTATTTTACCGCCTTTTCGATGTCAAAAACTGTCAGATATTGGATAAGATGGACGATAAAGCGGGTGGACTTGATGGTATGTTACTTTTCTCCTGTATTTTATGCGAGTTCTATCTTTTGCCAACGTTACAGGCTGAGAAACATTGTTGTTTCCGAGTGTTGCTGTTAAAATTCAGATTGTCTCAATCCTTATGTAGTTGGTTTTTGTTGTTACAGTTGAATTTGTATTTAACAGAAAAGAGAATAATGATTCCCTTGATATTCCCAAACTGGGTTCTAAGAATAAAGAAGACGGTAGGAATGCTATTGCGTGCGAAGAAATAATGAAGCTTGCTGACCCAAATACACCCGAGGTGTTAAAAACTCGAGAATCGGATGGAAATAAACTTGCTGACCCAAACTCAGTTGACAAGTTAAAAACTCGAGAGTCAGATGGAAATTATGATTTGATGAACAAAGAGAGAGAAAAATCTGCAAGGAAATCTAGTTCTTTGGACGATTCATCTTTTAAGAGCTCAAAGCTTGATGATTCAAGTAAGTTACCGAAGCATGAAGACAAGAGTGGTGACCAAATTCTGACTTTTCCTGGAAATGGCACGAAACCCCCGGGGACTAGTGTCATCTCATCTGATGCAAAATCAAAACCTGGACATAATAAGAACACTGTTGGGCCTGGAGAGAATGCAAAACCAGCTGAAAGCTTGAGTGCTTTGGATGAAAGGCTCTCAAAAGCAAATGTGTTTACCTCAAAAGAAGAAATGAAGTCTGGAGACCATCCGCATTCTGTTAGGACTGGAAAGGATTCAGAACTAATAGATAATTCAAGTGCTTTGAGACAAAGGCCGTCAAATACCGATGTTGTTTCGCCTGAGCTGAAACCTAAATCTGGACATGTTAAGAATTCTGTTGGACCTGGACAGGCTGCAAAATTAGCTGGAGATCCATGTGATTTGGAAAGAAAGGCACCGAAGGCAAGTGTCTCCCCGAAAGAAAGACCTTGTGTACATGATACCGGGCGTGAGAAGGATTCTGTTGGGCATAGAAAGGATGCAAAATCCGCTGCAAATCCACGTGCTTTAGATGAAGGGCCTTCAAAGAAGGTGAAGGTTGATAATTCTTTTATGTCATCAGTTGATAAGAACAATACTAAACAAAAGTTTGAAAAATACGTTGGGAGTGATGCTAAAAAGTTGCCAACACTTGTTGCTTCCACCGAAGATAAAACCAAATCAAGACTAGCTAAAGAATCTATTGGGATGGATAATGGCCATACTAAGGAGACTAGCAAAATTTCAAGCGGCAACTTATCTAAGTCATGTGTCGTGGCATCTACGAGTAAGAATGGAGGGAAAGTTGAAGGCCAAACATTTGAAGTCACCCGAAGACCTATTGTCGTAAGTTGAGCAACAAACAAGATCATTTACTTTTGGAAATTATATTCAACACTGTGGCTTATAACTCCTAAATATGATGGAAAAGCATTTGCACCTTGAGACGTAGGTTTTATAGACCCAATAAGAAATTTTGGTCAATGGTATGATTGTTTTAATAAAGACGTCAAATTAATTTTAAATTAGTAAAGGTGTAATTATAAAGCATGGGAGGCAAAGTTTGAAGGCTTGTCCATAGTGGCAAAGCGTTTTTCCCAAATAAAAAAGGTGTCTTAATATATTATTAGTAAAGATACAAATAAGTGGAATCGACATAAGATATCCCACATTTTTTTCCCCGATGAAATGAAGGAGTTTGCTTGTTGATGTTCCACATATCAATGAATTAAGATGATGAGATGAGATGAGATGATATGATATGCCTACGACATGTGCATGCATTATAAACTTATTTGATTGTGATATCAAGAAATTGGGTGGATATAATCTGTGGACTAAATCACACTACACTTAATTGTACCTATGGCATAAAGTGAGCTCGTGTCAAGCATGCACAACCTATGTTGGTGGCTCATGTAAGACTCACTTTGGGATTTTGGTTGAAGGTTATAAATTGCACAATCCTACAAGGCCGTGTTTTGTTTGCATGAGTTGGTACCTTTTCTGTTAAGCCTCTGTTTGGTGCACATTTTGTAGTTAAGAATGCATTTTTTTATCTGATGGGGAATATGTGGTTGAAAAAGAAGGAAAAGTTATTGATGTGATGGAAAATATTATTTTATTGAAGAATGTGTAGTTGAAAATGAGTAGAACAATGAGAATGAAAAAAATAATGTGGCTTAATGGAAAAGCTATTGATGTGATGGAAAATATTATTTTATTGAAGAATGTGTAGTTGAAAATGAGTAGAAGAATGAGAATGAAAAAAATAATGTGGCTTAAATAGGGGCTAAGTTACTAAATATACCAGAAGAATATTTTTGGTTGGCACGATTATTCAACCCAACCAAAAAATAGCAAATCACAATTTTTTAAAAATAAGCCCACATAGGCAATGAGGATGGATGCCTAGCCCAACACGATCATTGTCTACCCAACGGACTCTGCATTTTAGTTGTAACTATGACGTACGTAACTATAGTTGATTATGACTAATTAAATTCATATATCGAGTAAAGATATACATAATGATACATCAAAACAAGCTCCAATTAAGTCCTTTTTGATATTCTAGATTAGACAATTTATATTTTTCAATGCCTATGGAAATTTCTAATGCTTGTGATTTATATACATATGCGTGGTGATGTAGAATGTGGACTACATAATAAGTCTATTAAGTGGTGAGAGCTTGTGGACGGGAGCAGCGGTGGAGGCTTAGAAGTAATAGTTACATCGTGGATAAATTGGGTGTTCATATATACCATAATGTAGAAATAATAATGTAAGCCTGGTTTGTGCATTGATAGTATAGAGTTTAAAAGAATCAATTATAGCTGCACTCAAGTGTAACTTGCTCATTGTTGAAAATTTAGATGTTAGATGGTTATATTACCATCATAATTTTCTTTTCTTCCACACATTCGCACGGAAGTTCCTCAATTTTTGCTTATTGTTATACTTATGTCCCTACCATTTGTTTTTTCACATTCTTATCCTCAATCTTCTATTAATTAGTATATCTAGTTTGTAATAATAGTTTTTATTCAAAAACTCTATTAGTATGTTTTGAAATGAGGGGCAAGAATTTTGTCGTTGTCGTTGTCGTTTTTTGTCAACTAAAAAGCACGTGACTTTCTGGATCATGGAGAAGATGGGCTAATTAATGAAAGGTTGAGAATAATAATATAAAAAAGGGGGATATAAGCGCAGTAATGAACAAAGGTTGGTGCAATTAAAAAGTTGTGGAGCAAAAGAAAATTGTGGTGACAACATAATCACCCTTAGATGATTGCCTATATCACATGAACTTTACGTGCAATCAAAATTTAAGAGCTATATGGGCGTGCTTGCCTCTAGTCCATTTTTTGTTAGTCTAGAAATTTGTTGGTGATGACCAATGAGATAGGTGTTTGTTGCTCCATTTGCTAAGTCTCGCTTGACATTTTGAGGTTGACAGTGGGAAGAATTGGTGGTTTTAAAATTATTATGTAATAGAATTTTTGTAGTTTTGAAGGGTTTATGTGTAACAACTCGAGTCTCGTGCCCAAACTGTTATATCATACGAACTATGCGCTTTGAGAGATCGTCCAACTTCTTAATCTCTCACGGCTTTGTGTCACGTCCTCCAGGATTCAAACTTAAGATCTCTGCATATGAGAGATTTACGCTGAATCCTGGTATAAATTGGACGTCTTGTGTTCAAATCTTGTAGACGCTATAGAAATCTGTGAGGGTAAGATGAGTTCAAACTCTCTCAAAGCGAACAGTAAGAGAATGGTCGGGCACGAGACTTGGGTTGTTACAAATAAATGCTCATTTTTTGTAACAACTGGAGTTTTGTGCTCGGTTGTTTTCTTAGTACTGTTCGTTTTGGGAGAACATGAGCTCATTTTACCCCTCAAGAACTTCTATCGTATCCTCAAGATTCAAATCCAAGATCTTTGCCTTAATGAAAGACTTAAGTTGAATTTTGGGGACACGATAGAAATTCACGAGGAATAAGATTGCCTCATGCTCTCCTAAAGCGGATAGTACGTAAGAGAACGCCTTGACACCAGGCTCAGATCATTACGGTATGCGGACTACTAACATGATTTGGTGGGAGAAAGTGGACATCTTTGAATGAAGAGTGAGTATAACAAGATGGTTACTTGGACAATGTGAAGTTGGCCAGTTTGACATAGCTTGAGTGAGGTGGAGATAAAAGATGGTTGCTTTGACAATTTGGAGTTGACCATACAGGTATTAGAGTAAAACAAATGAAGCTTTCAGATAGCTGTGTCAAATGACTCATGTAATCTAACACTGACATTTTTTGAGCACTTGACTGTCGGATAAGTATATGACAGCTTGCATTGAAGAGTTACCAGTACAGAATGTTATAGCATTGAAGTCCGCAACATTTCTTGAAGATATGTCCAAAAGGTTTTTCTTGCATTATTTGGGAACTAATATTGGAGCTTATGCCCAATCTTTATTTAGTTTATACCAAATGGATTTGAGGCTTTTTCATCAAAAAGGTTAGGGACTTGGGGAACTAATGAGTATTTTTGGTCAATACTGAATATGGCCTTGGATAGTGTAAATCGAAGAGATATGATTATTGAAGTTCGGTGTCTGGAAGGTTTAATTGAATGGAATATCACTGGTTTCATTGGATAATGAAATAGTGCAGTAACTCAATGTCATCGTATCAAGCTAGTACACTGTTTTATTGAAATTTGAGTTACAGATATATGTAGGTTGCTTTTTCCTTTTACTCATTCTTATGCCTTTCAAGCAATGAACCAAAAGGGATGGTAAAAAATGATTCATATACCTAAGCCCAAATTTATTGAGAATAAGGCGCTTAGTTTATTCCTTTCACTTTTTAAGTGCTTTTATATTCAATCAAGTTTAGAGTCTAAACACTAATACCTTTTCTCACTCTCTTTTATGCATTAATACATTGATGGAAAAAAGAAATATAATATGCTAACTGGTACATGATTAAACCTTCATATATGATCCTTGTAAAGTGATTGCTTGTAGACACTTATTTTAGTCGGAGGAAATTTTAATTTTAGCATTAACATGTTATTGTGGTATAGTTAATTTAAGCGCCTTGCATCTCCTGCAGTCATTTCAGAAATTTGATTGATCTTGCTTTTAATGCTCTCTATTTTCACTTTGTTTGCAGGGCAAGAGCACATGGTTTAGGGAACTTGTAAGTTCACACTTCTCAATTGTCATATATAAAATTTTGATTCCACTTTCATATGAAGATATGTTTAAGAATTATTAATTTTTAAACGCATGTGGAAATTTATTGAAGATACGTATTCTTACTAATCTAATCGAGTTTGAAGTTTGGAAGCAATCATCGGTGGTTAATATTCAATTCCTTTGTCTTCCATTACAAATTGGTTGGCTTTCTTGTTCCATCTATGGTTTTTATTTTAAGGTTTTGGATCAAGTAGAATATGATTGGGTATTATTATGACGTTTTTATCCCTTTGTAGTTTGACCTGCAGTCTAATTATATATAAGTATGCATAAATGAGCTTAGGTCTTAACTATTTGGATTTTAAAAAATCCCTAAGTTCTCATTATCAATGAGGAAGAAATTGTGTGCAGCCTAACTTTTTGAAGTTAGTCCACTTGAAGATTATTATCTTTGAATTTTCATTCTCGATATGTATCACATCAATATTTTAATGAACTTGTAATTGATTGGAATTTAATATGCATACCTTTATAAGTTCTCATAGATCAACTCTAGATTCACCATCGCGTTGGTTGTTGGAGATTTATACTATTTATTCTAAATCTTTCTCCAGCCTTGGGAGGAAAGAGTGCAGGACTCAAATGATCAAGGTACACTGGTGCTGCTCCGGAATTTGGATCCAGAATATACATCAGGAGAGGTAGAGGTAATTTCGTTCCACTAGACATAATTGTTATATGTATTTCAATTTTTTGCTTTCTTGTACGTCTGATATTGTTTGATCTGAAATGAATGCGGAATTATGGAGTCATTTTCATACAAACAAGTTCTGCATTCTATTTAATTTTTAGTTGGAGATTTGGCTTAAAGGTAAACTGCTGTTGGATCATTTTTCAATGTTAAATTTAATGAGATTTTCTCAATTTATATAACTTTTAGAACACTAATGTGACTGGGAGTTTGGACCGATGATGTGTGTAGACTAACTAAATTAAGCAATTAGCATCCACGTGCCTAATGCTCGGATGGGCAAAAGAGAAGTGTGGTAGGATTCCTCTTCTATCTCCAGGGATGGTTTATGCATAATCACATAAAACTGTACTGTTTTCTCCTATTGCTCTGTACCAAAATAACAATTTTTCCACATCTGTTTTTGTTTGTTTTCTCCCTTTTAGGCTTAGTTCCGGAACTTCCTTTAACTTTTTATATGTTTTTCTGAGTTGATGATTATGCAAGGGTTTTTTATGACATTATTTGACATCCATTCAAGGAAAACTTTGTGTAGTTAAGGCCTAATTGAATATTTATCATGATAAGTTTCCATTTATTGTTTTTCTCCTATCTGTGTTTCTCTGCTGTCTTAAGAGGTCTCATTTATTTTTCTACCTTGATGCTGCTGTGGAATTTCCAGGACATCATTTGGCATGCATTTGATGAAAATTGCACAGCTAAAATGATACAGCGCACTGCTGTTTCCAGTCCACATTCTGGTATGTAGATAAACACCAACTTCATTGCTTCTTAAAATTCAGCGATTTTTGGGTGCATTTCATGTTTTTATTTGTTCTCGTTCTTAAATTATATTCACATTCAAGCCTTGTCAAGTGATCTTGGGTTTTCTTTTTGGTTGAAATCCTTTGACCTCCTGTGTTTACACTTGTCAGGTCAAGCTTTTGTCATATTTAAAACAAAAGAAGCTGCAGAGAAGGTTATTAGAAAACTGAATGATGGCTGCTTAATGTTACCGAATCGCAGGTATGTGTGCGGATTCATGTACTCGTTATGCTAAAACAAATGGTGAGAGTTAACTGCGTGACTCTTGTTGTGGATATACCTGAAATTAAAAAGTAAATTGTAAATGCCAAAAAATATGTTGAGACGATTATTCTGACCTGACTCGTGAATTCATTGTTTTTGTGCACATGTTGTTGGTGCATGTCTTTTATTATTACATCATTTAGTTGACTAGATTCTTGATTAAAACCCATTTCTCTTTCTGTGTTGTTTAAAAAAGCCATACCCTGGGATTTGATTCGTTTCTTAGGTGTTGGAGCATGTTAATGACTCAAATTCATTTGAAATGCTTGTTTTCACTTCAAAATTTGTTACTTGTATTGATGGAGGGGTACGGGGTGAAGGTGTTGGATTTGATAGCCTGGACATAGATCCACTTTCTTCTAGAATGAGAAGATGTGAAAATGCATTATGTGATCTAGAGATTTTAAACTGAAAGAGTTGCATTATTTGCAGGCCGCTTGTAGGTTGCTATGGGGTTCTTCCCAGAGTTTCCGGAAGGCAGACCTCTTTCGTGGGTCATTTGGCTATTGATGATGTTAGACGTCAAATACAAAGGGACATGGTACGATTAATTTGTTGGTCATTTGTTGTCTCTTATTTAGACCCGCTCTCTTACTGATCAATATATTCTTCTATCTGAGGATTAAATACAGGCGGTGACTAAACTTTTAGCGAAAGTTTATGTTGATCACTTCTGCTTTAAGTTCATGGAACTTAATTTTTGTTACAATTTGGTGACTTCATCTGTGTCCATTAGTTTGACTAATGGAAAGTCCGACTTGTCAGTCTATTTTTCAGCCTAGTTATACTATTATGCCAGTTTTGCGTTAATTTCGCTAATGGACATGGAAAACTGACCTGTATAATGAACGTTTTAAGTTTTAGTGACCAACTTGAAACACGGTTTTAGTTTAAACCAAAATTCATTTTTTTTTATTTTTTTGTAAGTTTGGTGACTACTTGTATTTCTAACACTTGTCTTGACAATAACCACAAGTGTAACAAAAATACATGTACATGCACAATCTTTTAGCATGAGTTCTTTAACCATCTAATGTTGTTTATGCTTTTCTCATTGATCAGAAAGATGCCGTGTCCACATCTCACTATTCTCAGACCAACACAATCGAATATGAAATGGCCATGGATTGGTGCTTGCTTCAATCAAGATCTGATATCTGGTGGAAGACGCTTTATGAGGTGAAATCTATGTACTTATTCTAAATCTAGTAAAGCATTTTTCCTCTATATTTGCTTGAGCTATGGTTTGTTGAGCCCATATTTTTTGTATTTGTTTAGGTACAAAGAGAGCAGTTAAGAAAACTCCGTGCTAATCTCAAGTCGAATTGAGCATCAACTGGAAAGTAAATCGATCTTCATGTGAGTATTTTCACTAACTATGACCTGCAATTTATCTTTCCAAATATGGAGAAGACTCGTAGAACTTTAAATATGTATCCTTTTAATTGATGGATAACCTTCTCACTTGTAGATGTGCTCAAACCTCAAATAATGGTGCTATATAAATTTATAGTGGTAATTGCCATTAGTGTAGATATAACTCTTTGATATACAAAAGTCTGTTATAGAGTGAAAAAATTGAGTCAGAAATATGGAGAAGAATAGAGAATTTGCACAATTCTTATCTATTGAATTACAATGTGGAAGAAGTGAAATGCCCTATTTCTAAGGTTTTTTTTTTTTATAATCGTGGATGTTCGGGTCAGCTTGCGCGTACCTCGACTAATCCCACGGGGCTCTGAAGTTTACGGTCGGGTACTCACCTCAGTGGCCTTAAGGGAACTTGAACTGGCGACTATTGGGGAGCAAACCCAAGGTCTGAACAATTGAGCAGCCCATCAAGGTTTTCTAAGGTTAAAAACAACCAAAACAAGAATATACTTGTTTCCTAAGATAAAAGGTAGAAACTTTACCATTAGGCTACAAAGAAATTATGTTCTATAAGCTAAAATCTTTTTCTTTATTGTGTTATATTTTTAAATATAAATAGAATGAGAAAAAAGTAAAATCTGCGGAGACTCTTTGGGGTCCGGACCTCTCCCAGGACCCTCCCTAGCTCCGCCCTTTAAACCGTTTATAAATACTTCCTGAATATGCTTTAACTCGGATACCAGTGAAATTAGAGTACAAATAATTGAGGCAATAATATGGAGAAAAGATAATTTATCAACTCTTACTGTCTCTTGAATGTTTTTTTGAAGACAAAGTGGAAGAAAAGACCCTATTTATTGGAGTACAAACAACTAATATCTTCCCTATGAATACTACCATTATATATTGTACAAAGAAAACATAAGAATCTGTGATAATTATGAATCACGCTATTATGTAAATATTTCACTATACACTGAACAGACTGGTATAGCGAAAGTCAATATTCCAACAGTAAGTATTGGTGGATGCTGATCTTATTTTTATTTCGTTTTGGTTCTATCATTATGTCTACTTTTGTTTTCCTTGTTTTACCAGATATCTGCACTCTTCCACATGGCTTGCGAACAATTATATTTGGATATCTTGATTTTGGTTTTCCATAAAGTAGAAATTAGGCAAAAACAGAACTGATAAGTTTTCTTCTTGTTAATTTTCTAATTAAATGCTTCCACGAGTTTTGTATTGGTTTCTGTTCCAACTTTCAATGGATTTGTTTATTTTTGGCAGGCTGAAGAAAATGGTAGCTATCTGTCAATATTTGGAAACTTCTGGCTGTATATAATTCAGAGCGAGGATCGCCTACTAGCAGTATTTTCATTTGAATATCTTATATGAATATGTTGCTAAGATCTAGACGTTACTTTGTGGGACACGGTAGAAATTAGCTACACTTGTTTCACAGGTGCCATATTTGACTACTGCTGCCGGAGTTGTAGATCAGGCAATTTTTGGTTATACTATGCATCTTCTTGGCGCACCTTTTATGCAAGACAAATGTTTTTGAGCGAAATATTTTGATTTAACGGCAAATTTCAATGGCATCCCATGAGGTATCAGACTATTAAATACTCTCTCTCTCTCTCTCTCTCTGGGGTTTAGTATATGCACTTGTACTTCCGCAAGCCAATCGATATCAATTCTCCAATCGAATATCTCTGGCATTCTAGCTTTGTGACTGTTGATGTGAAAAGCATCTACTACGTAAATTCTTAAGAAAAGGTTGGAGTGATAATGCTCTCACTGAAAACTCGATCTCGGAAGTTAGAAATTTCTCAGACGTATTATTTGCATTACCTAACAATCTTGAGTGTACTGGAGGAGCAAAACTTGTGTACGGAATATTAGTCTATTTTATTGTTAAATCTTGAATGCACTCATACCCTCTTCTCATGGTGCACTTTTCCACTTTCTGAAAAATCACAAAAAGAAACTTGGGCAAAAATCATCACAATTACAAGATAACTGTATGAATTGTAGGGTGGTTGGAGAGATCACTATGCAAATGCAACATAAATTTCATTGTGGGAAAATTAGGCCCACTCTGCTGCCCTAAAAAAAAATACATTTTTGATTAATACCCTTCAAACTAAATAAAATTATAATTACCGTATTAATTACTTCCAAACCTCAAAATAAAACCCAAATCAGAAGGAGGAAGCCTGCGAATTAGAAAACTCCCAAACACCTTCGTTCCCAATTTCGAATTCGACTCCAATGTTCTTGCAAGCAAAATACAATGGTTAGTCAGCAAGCCGCGGAGGCACGTGGCTAGCCCGTAGGCCGCTTGGCATTTCAGCCGGACACGATCAATTCCACACAGTGAAAGTGCACAATGTGTGTTTAGAGAGCGAGACAAGGAGANTGTCTTCCATCCACAACACGAGGTTACGGCAATAGCGATATCTTCACACCCAAAATTTAAACACGACGATATAAGGAATCAAATGAATTGGAAAAGTAACCATACACGATCTCATCGAACACCAATTTCAATTATTATCATAAGTTTGTTGAATCTTCAGGACAGATGATTTATTTTTATATATTTACTACTTATTTTGTACTCCACTTCTCTACACGGTAATTTTTCATTATTACTATTTTTCTTAGTTAGATTGAACCCTTTTTCTTAGTACTATTCTTCTTTCATAACTAATAAAAATGGTCACCTAGTGTGGTTAATTTATTTAAAAAGAAAAATGTAACTGAAACTTTTTTGAAAGTTTTTGGGTGAACAAAGTGAAATTTTATGTAAAGTTCAATGGTCATTGATAAAATCAACTCCTTGATAAATAATAACATTATACTAGTTTAAATAATGCATTCCACTAGGATAAACAAGTATACAAATGATAACGTTGCGCTGACATATTTTTAACTATACATGGTTTAATTTTAGGTTTAGTTATTTTAATTTAATTTCATAGAGATATTTACGGGTAACAAATTCAGCATGTTGCATAAAAAAATTTTAAAAAAAATACAGAGAGAAATGAAAAATAAGAATTTGAAGTAGACGAGAGGAGACTCTGTTTGATTTTAATAAAGATAGGTGTGGGTGGTCCAAAGGCAAAGGGAAAAGCGAATTTAAGAAGGTGGGGCCCTCCCTAATGCAATGCAATCCCTTATGTTTTCCGAATTCATATTTTTTTTTGTTCAAATTTATGCAAAAATATCATCAACACGTAATTATTTATTTAGTGTAAAAAGAGGAAAATAGTATAATTTGCGGTTGTTGAATTTTCAATAAATCACATTTGGGTCGGTGACGAAATGTAAAATATGAATGAGAAAATAAGTGGTCGTTCTCTTTGTATTTTAGTTTTGAATTCATTTGGAGTTTGTGTTTTGAGTGTTATTTGGGATTGTTGAAAATGTGCTCTTTTTGACGTTTTGAAAATTTTGGCTTGATTATAACTGAAAACACCCAAAATGACAAATTTATCGTTTTGAGTTTTCTTTGTAAACTTTTAACTTGGTTCAAAAATGCGTTTTCGAAAATAGGAAAGAGAATGCGTTTTCACTATTTTGAAAAATCGAAAATAGAAAACGATTTGAAAATGGTAAAGACAACATGCCCTTAAAGTTTAGGGAGATGAACTAAAGTTTGGTTGAATGTACTCGTGGACTAGAAAGTAGTATAATTTACTAAAATTAATTTTTTTAGCATTTTTTATATGAGAATGATGGGCTTTGCTAATTCCCACTTAATGACAAGATTATCCTAATCATCTCATTATTAACAAACCACAATAATTGCGGTCCCTAAAGCAACTGAATTTTATGCCAAATATTTTAGCAAGGCCCACTCCCAGTTGACCCTAAAGTCCATGGGCCCGATCACTATAGGCCCATTCTTTTATTGGGCTCATTTGCCCACTTCTTCTTGTATGTCCCTTTTATAGATTGTGAAAATTACAGCATACCCGAATTTTCAACTTCCAATTTCAAAATTCAGATTTACAAATTTTTATTTCAAAAATCAGATGATAATTAATTTACCTACACAATCCAACCATCCAGCCAAAACCCTAATTATCTTCCTATTTTCTTCTCCCTCTCTCAACGAAAAATATTGTCGGATCACCACAACGACAATGTCGCGGTTGCAGCGAGTCTGAGCGGAGATGTCGTTGTTGCTACACGCCATAAGCCCCACTGGATCCGCAAGTCTCTCTTCATCCCACCATGCTATTGAAGTCGTGAGCAGCAATGCAGCTGTTGTTGCACGTCGTGAGCCCCCACCAGATCTGGGGAACAAAAAATTAATCATTGTACGGAACTCGGGAACTAAATAGAATCGAACCGAATCCAAACGGTTCCATAATTAAATTTGGACATGACGGTTCCACTTACTAAATATCCAAAAATTTCAATTCGATTATCTTTAGAGTCGAACCGAACCGGATCATATCTAGCCCTAATGACATCCTTGTAGAGGACTTAAGGCCATATTCAATACAATTTTGATAATACAATGAACAAGATTTCAACTTTTTTCCCCTAATATTATCAATACTATCAAATATTGTATAACAAACCTGCCTTATATTAAGAGCTTGTTTGGTAGAGATTAAAATCGGATTAAAATTGAAAAACTAGCCATTATTGTTGACTTTTATTAGACGGGTGAGACCCAATAACGACTATATTTTCAATTTTAATTGGATTTTAATTCCTCCTAAACAAGCTCTAAATCTTCTATGAAGATATCAATTTTCCCGAAACACGATAAAATATCTAAAAATAAACCACAACCAAGAACGCGAAAATCAAATTTCAAGGAATAATTAAAAAAAAAAAATGAAGTATAGGATCTATGCTCAACTAATCACACTAGTAACTAATAAGAAAAAAATATTTTAATTTAGTTCAGTCATCACATATGAATAGGA